ACCTCAGTTTCAGCCAGATAACCTGTGCGCCGTCTACACTAAGCATCCTTATCCTCATTAGTTTTTGTTAGATTTTGTCTGTAAGCTTTATTTATGGATTAGCCGCAATGCCTTATGAGTTATACTTGTGGTTTCTGATTACTGTGGAGACTAATTTGGTGCTCTGCAAGGGAGACAGTGTAATTCCTATTTGAGCTTTATTTTCTGGGATATATGAAAGGTCACTTTGCTGATCCTAAGCACTTAAGTACTGTGTGAGCTTATTCTCCCAGCATCACGAGAGTGCGAAGGGAGTAATAGGTTGGACCTTTTTCATATCTCCTGGGGTTTCAAGGCTTATAGGGTTGTGTTTCCTAGCTTTTCTCTCTCCAGGGACAGAACTGGAATTCCCACTAATATTAATTGGGTGGGTTTACCAACATGGCCATGTACATGCCTGTGGATACGGACAGCCTTGGAGGCGGCCCTTGCTTCCAGCACTTGTTGACTGGGGTCATTGTGCATCGAAAGCGTGGGACAGACGGAGAGGAGAGGAGCCCTGCCTGTTGGATGCAGTCTTCAGCTGCAGCTCAGGAAGGGTTGCAGGGATGCAGCTGCGAATCATTTGATGTTAACACTTGCAGAAAATAATCTGTCAAGTAGTCCCAGCTGTTTGATATTATTGGCTTGTTCTGTCTGCCTTTTTTTTTTTCCCTCTAGCTGGTACTCACTATCTCTGCTACTGATATAGCACATAAAGTTCAGCGTGTCGTTTGAAGAGGCCAGTTTTCATTGTAAGAGGACCAGTGATTCCTCCTCCATCCATCCATGTTTGAAGAGCCAGTTTTTAGCAGCATGGCTCTTGTTGGCTCCTGTCTGCAAGGTACGAAGCCAGTTTCTAATCCGATTGTTGCCGGTTTAAGAGAGCAGCTCACACCATTGCTGTCTCAAGAGACTCTTGCTGCTGTCCTTCACTGCAGCATCTCTCTCTGGCCCGTCCTGAAGTGTGCAAGCAAGAGGCTGCACAGACGTTAATACTCCATGCCCACAACATTTTGTGGTTGCTACTAAAAATAAAAAGAGTGAAATTAATTTGTTGATAATGGATATGCTACTAAGAGAAACACATCCCACTTGTACCTAACACCAGCAGGTTCTTTATGGCATATTTGTTATGTCTATAAATACTCTTTTCTTTTTTTCTAGCAACCAATTTCATTTAAAGACTATTTTCACACATCACTGGCTGTTAATCAGTTAAGGAGTTATCAGTTTTAATATTAGGAAGAAAGAAGCAGATCTCATCAACAGCGTAAAACTTTGTTTCATTTCTTTTTAGCTGGCTTGCAGCAGATTATAGGGAGTCTTAGGCTCATCTTCCTTCTCCTCCTTTTCCTACCCCCTTGAAAAGAGAGATTACGTGCATCACTGTACTGTGCTAGTTCTGCGTATGCTTTCAAGAGCTGTTGAATTAGAAATTCTGAGATAAAAATATAAGAAGACTAAAATAAGATTTAATTAAAAATTAAACCCCAGGCACCCATGTAATTTTAAATAAAATCATGTGTACTACATGAAGAGATTGTAAGGTTGACTGTCAGATGAGGAATGGTAAGATAAAGACCAAAACCCAAGGTGCATGCAAGGTAAGCTGTTTGTGGCCGTGTTATGCTCTGAATTTGATTTGCAAAATACCTGAGACGTTACCACCAGTGGCAGAAAAATGACATGGTGCCAGCTTTTGGCTGCTGAGTTCAGCCAGATCTGTGCCTATCTGGCTACCGTGATACCTGCTCTGCAGTGTGGAGGGATAAGATGTTCCTGGGTCAGCTTTCATCTAACAGCAGCCATGGCATCACAGAATCCCTGTTTATTAGAGGATTGTTGCTTGAACCACCTCAACAGCTCTGGTGGTGGTCCTCTCCTTTGTGTTGTGTACAAAGCAAACGTAGGAAAAGGTACAGAGAAAAGCCTTGTAATAGATACTAATTATGCTTGAAACACCTATGCAGCTACATCTGCTTCTGCTCCTGAGCATGGTAGTGCAAGTGTGGTTTCCATCAGGAGTGGTCCCCAAGCTGCTTATTGTGAGAGGCTGAAAGACTACACTGGGGGAACTCTGCAAATCCCCCTCTGTCCTCCCCAAAGCATCTACTGCAAGGGTGTGGACTCAGCACCCCACCACTTGCTGTGGTAATTCTTGCATTTATTTTTATTTTCTGTCATCCCTTTTTTTTTTTTGTGTATCCCATATCCTGTCCCTGAATTCTTCCTGTCTAAGCCACGCAAGAGTATTTCACTTAGGTATGACAGCACGCTGCTCTGCTGGCTGTTTGTTATGAGTACTGATGGTGAAATCTTCAGTGTAATTTCATGCTCTTCAATGTTCCTCCTTATACCTTTTGGATAGCAAAGGGACTTGTCTGACCCGTGGGAACCTGCAGATTATACAAAAATTGGTCCAGTTCAGTTTTATTTCACATCCCTCATTAAAACATGGGTTATTGGTGTTGTACATCTGTTGGCTACGTACTTATTCATGAAAACCAAAGATTCCCTTTGAGCTGAGCTACATATCATACCGTCATTAACAAGCTGCACCTCGTTGAAAATCTGTCAAGGAAAACTGACTTATTTTGCATTTGCTGCTTTGCACAAAATAGAAGCACGGTAAACTCTTGTGCTGTAATGATTTTCTGTCTGTCTTGATGGGACATAATGAGATAAATTCAGGTCCTCTTTTGAAGGCTAATTACATCAAGTACACACTAGACGTGGGCTGCCCTCGTTATATGTGGTGCATTTTTGTGCTTTCATTTCCCCATCTCTATTGTCTGCGTGTGCAAGTGAGTTTGATTTGGCTTTGAAATAAAAATTGTAGGCTAGAGAAGAGTCGTTTGGTGGTCTCCTCTCCCAGAAGACTCTCCAGAGATTGAATAACAAGTCCTTGCTGTAGGTAGGGCAGCATTTGAAGGTGACTGTGAAGTAAATTAAAGAACTTAGCTCTGTGCTAGGAACTGAGGAATGTGCTATAAAGCATGAGGACAGCTCGTGGCAAGCCTGCTAAGAGCCGTCAAGAATAAAATCAGCCCTAGGTCTGGTCACCGGTCCTGGTGTGTGGACACAAAGCAGTTGAACTGCATCCTGCAGATCTCACAGCCTAGATATGGAGCACTAGTTGGATGATGAGCAATTTTGGAAATTGGGTTTTTAAAACCTGTAAATCCCTCTAGTCCTACTAATTGTACCCTGCCTGTCTTGTGGGAAGAAAAGGGAGCTGGGAGAAGGCGTGGGAGGGTGCACAGTTTGGGGAGGTCAGCAGGGGTGCTGGAGGAGAGCATACCTTAGGGCAGGATGGAGAGGCTGCAGATGCATGAGGGAGACCTGGAAGCCCATGGTGGGCTTGGGAACAGCAGGGTTGCTTGGCACTTGCTGCGAGAGCTTCGTGGTCCGGGCAAGACTGGAGGTGGGGCCTGGGGGAGGTCTTTTGGATGCTCTTGGGTCACATCCCTTTTGATGCATGAGTGATCTTCATCGGCAAACTTAATGGCTGGCTCTAGGAGTTAGGAGTTGATGTGCAAGTGTCTCACCTGTGGTGAAGAAGCTAGTGACATGAAAGGGAAGATGTCAAGAGAGTTTCCCTGGTACTGCAGGAAGCAGAGCCAACTTTAGAGGCAGTTGTCCTAATTGGTCCATCAGAGGAAAAGGGATCACTAGTAAAAACCTATACTTTATCAACCATGAAGATGAATTCTGTCATCACTGGCTGAATTTTAGCACATGACCTTTGTGCTGTGATTGTCTGTGACATTCCTGGTGGGATAATATTAATGCTTTTGCTGTAAGCTCATTTTCTTTGCAAACTAATTACAAATGGGGAAGTTTGAATGCAGATGGAAAGACTCTGGGATTTCCAGGTGACTTCGATAAGTCTGATAGCGAACTTATGCATCATTGATACTGTGCTGGGCAGAATTACTTTAGAGCATCTCTTAAGGAAAAAAAGTAAGAGCACTTTGGAGCTGCTTTAACATGTCTCTGTGTCTCTGCTTTTTGAGACAAACAGAAAATCAAGTTTTCCCCCTTTTGCTAACAGTGGTTTTGTAATTCTACACATAACAGTATGATTATAGGGCCAGCTGGTTTTTACCTAAAGCCGGGGTGGATACATGCAAACCTGTAATTGTCACTGCTCCTGGCTGAGTTTGCACATGCAAGTGAAGTGCCAAGTGCTTTGCGTAGGTGAAAGAGCACTTGTTTCAGGAGACTGGAAACAAGTTATTACTGTATTCACTTCAAATTATTTAAAAAAAAAAGAAAATAAAATCCCAAGCTACCCTTAGCCATATATTATATTTGTGAGAATAAAAAATACCTCTTGTATGAAGTCTCTGTACCTCATCATGCATATCTATTGGAGCTGGAAGAATTATCTTGCATGGCAAGCATGCGTGGTTCAGCCTATACCCAGAGCAGTCTGTCTTATATGGAGCACTTTAAAATTCATCACAGGTTTGCTGGGGAGAAGACCCTAGGGAAATAGCCTTGTCACATGTCTTAAAACCGTCAATCTTGAGATCCCCTCCACCACCGTGTTGCTATTTGTTTGCTGAGACATTGATTTCTGGGTGTAGAACATCTGAAACGTAAACCATGAAATGTATTTTATCTGTTTTTCTAAGACTGGATGAAAAAAAAACGCAAACACAATAATGTTTTCTAAATCAGAACCCAAAAGATGTTACCTCTAATGCATTCAAAAAGGAAAATAAATACCCAGTAAAGGCAGATGCTAAGGGAAAAATAAATCAACAGCTTCTCATTCTCTTTTTATGCAGATAGTTAAGTATGCACTGTCTGTTAGTGGCATAGACTGTTTTAAAATACAGAAACCAAGTAGCTCGTGAGTGTCTGTTTTCTAGCTGAAGATATGTTGTTGGTTTTTTTTTTTTTTTTAAAGAAAATGTGAAGAGACTAATTTTATGATGGGAGAGCTTAGCCTGTGGTTCTTCTTTTCACAGTATGCAGACCTGGGTTCTTCAAAGCTTCACCCCACAGTCCATCCTGCAGCAAATGTCCCCCTCACAGCTACACGCTTGATGAAGCATCCACATCTTGCCTGTGTGAAGAACACTATTTTAGGAAGGAATCAGACCCACCTACAATGGCCTGTACAAGTAAGCATGTGCTTATAGGGTTGTTTTTAATCCTTTCAAGCTGTTCCTGTACTGTGACTAGAAGTTATGATCCTCATTAAGGTGCTTTTACAGGCTCTGGGCTGGAGTCTGAACTACTCTTGACACACTTGTAATGTCACTGGCTTTGTCCGCTGTAGCCCCGGTTACACGAGAACAGACTTTTTGGAGCCTTTTGCTTCAAAAGCTGGCATGAAACCCAGGAAGCGTTTTTGTAACGAATGGATGCTCCATCTCTCGCCGTCTGCTCATGGGTGGGCTCAGCTAGCAGCATGGCATTCAGACATCCGCACTGGTGTGTGCGTGGGTAGTGGTGTGGGGCACGCACGCAGAGGAAACGATGGGTAGCACTTGTCAGTGGTAGGCATGGGTAGAGTCTACGTGGTCCTGCTTAGTATCATCTCTTAGCTCGTTTTCACTAAACACGCAGGGAGAGAGCCCTACCTTTCCAAGCTGCCTAGAGGTGGTTGTTCTTCAGGATAGCCGCAAAACTCTCCAATGGAAACTGCTTCTCCAAACCTGCAGCTAAAATGTAGAGCTTATCCCCTTGGTGTAGGGGGAGGGTAGTATAACAAGCAAATCGGGGTATTGGGAGTCCAAGGTGGAGTCGGTGGAATCAGAATCACTGCTTTTGCCCTTTCCCTGCCATCTGTGAGCTATCTTGTCAGCTATACCTTGAAAGTTTCTCGTTCAGTTTATGTTTCAGATACTTAGGGCCGCAGTTTGCATACCTCCAGCTAGTCCCACCAAGTGTAGAACAGACCACAGTTTTTTGCTGAGATGGGTCTCTCATGCTCTGAATATGATTTTTGCAGTGCAAAAGCGGTTTAAAAAGTACTGAAGAGGAGCTGAACTACGGGGGGAGGAGCAGGTAGAGCTTCCAAGGAACTTAAGTGGTGAAGGAAAAAGTAGGTTTATGAGTCCATGCACGCTCAGAGCCACTGGGCAGCAGTGCAGAGGTGACTTCCATACTGTTTCCTTGCACCATGCAGTCACCGTAGTGGCTTTTTGTGCCTTCATCCCAGTGAATACAGATGTCCCTCCTAGCTTCCCAAGTTTGCACTTCAAAAAGAGAAAGAAGTAGTCTGTTCCTGTTGGAGAGATGCTCTCGCAAAGGAAATTGCCCTTGGCAGGTCTCTGCTTGCCTGCAGGAGGAACTGGGAGCAGAATCGGCACCCTTGAACTCTGCATTTGCTTTTCACCAGCCGAAGGAGCATGAAACACATGGCTATTGGAAGGTGTGCTGCAGGGAAGGAGAAGACAGCCTTAGGCAGCATGGCAGTAGCTGGTGCTGTAGGATCAAAGTGGTCTTGGGGCGGGTGACTCATGCAAGCACTTCTCAATTTATTAAATAGATATGCTCGTGTCTTTCAGAGCCGTAGCTAGGATGGGTTACAGCATGAAAAACTTCGATACCAGGGCTTCTTGATGTCCATTTTGCCCCTTGGCCTGACTTAAAAAACATAGATAAATGAGAGATGTTGAGGTCTAGCATGATATTGGGAAATGGGAAGGGAGAGGAGTCCTCTGAGCTCTGGAAATGCACATAAAAGTGGCTTTTCTCTACAGGCAGAACCAAAGCCAGAGTTATGCCAGGCTGCTGGTGACCACAGTGCCTCTTGCCCACTGTCAGTGGTTTTGCTGTCTCTCCCTTCTCAGGTTGGAGGGTTACGAATCCAGTGTGTCCTGCTGGTGAATTGGCAGACAAAAGAGCTGCCATCCCTGAGGAAGAGGTTTATGCATGCCCACGACCTGAGCGTAGGGCAGGATTTTCAGAGGGGCACAAACAAGCTTGGTGACCAGCTCATGTTAAAAAGAAATGAAATTTGAGTGCCTGTTTCCCCCAGGTTTGAAATGAAATTTGAGTGCCTGTTTCCCCCAGGTTTCTGGTGCAATTTGAATCCTCTAGGTAAAGGCTGTAATTTCTGATTCTGCAAATACCATGGGATTTTCTTTTTATGTTTGTTTGGGGCTTTTATGCTTATTTGTTGGGTTTTTTTAAAATAAAAGTTTGTTTGGGGTTTTTAATGTTTGGGTGGTTTTGTTTCAGGGGTTTTTTTTTGTTTTGAAAACTTACTATAAGCTAGTTTAACGCACAGGCATAGTGCCTGAAGTTGTATTAGGATATGGCTTGGCAGGGTACTAAGTGCTTCTGGTGCAGATGAGGGGTTTAATACCGACCAAGGCACTGCTCAGCTTCTGTTGCCCACTGCAAACCCCAGTGCAACAGTTGAGGACGTTGCAACATCTCTGCTGGCCTTCACGCTTGCTATCCCAAAAGCAGAGCGGATCATCCAAGACTTCTCCGTGTGCTTCAGTCACCCTCGCTTGCCTTACACATCCTTTCTTGGGATTTTGTCCTAATCCAGCTATATTTGTGCTGAAGGTGATGAGGAGGGCCCTTGTGCTACCCCAGCTCAGCTGCAGGGGTAGTAAATTTTGGCAGGGACAGTAAAGAATAGGTAGTGACACTAATGTTTTAAACCAGTCCAATTAGATCTGGAAGGGAACATCTCATCGTGAACTGAAGCACAAGCGAGACAGACTTGAATCATGACTGGTAGGAAAATATTGCCAGGTTTTTTGTATGTTTTTATTATTTATTACCACAGAAGTTAATAATATTCATAGGATTTCCTCAACTTGAAATCTAGTTAATTTTAGAGAATACATCAATGTACGTTTTCAGTTCTACACCTACAAAGTCCCCTTGCCAGTTGGTAGAGCTATAAAATCACATTTTCCTAATTTAAAGCAAATGCTTTTCAGTCCCAAGCTGCATGAGTCTCCCCACCGCTACCAGCATCACTAAAGAAAACTAACTGCTACACCACTGTCAACTGCTCAGAAAAGTACAATGAGGGGAATACATTTTTGTTTATTTTTTCCAGTTCCTTAAGGATGTTTTATAAATAATGATTGATAATCTTGAAATTATTAGTGCTGTGATTCAGTCTGAAATAATTATTGCTCTCAGATGGGCATTTGAGAATTCTCTTATTATTATGTATCTTCTGGGAAGTAATTGCCCTTTATTTCTTCTTAACTAAGTAATCCTAGCTTCAGTCCCTTGCACAACATCTCTTTAAAGTGAAAACATAGTTGCACCCTTTTTTTCCCCCTCCCATCTCTGACAAGTAACCCTATTGCTGTTCAGAGCATATTGAGGAAATATTTTTAATAGTATGACACATAGGACAAACTAAAGATTTTATAGTATTTAGTGTAATATTCTACTCACAAAAAGTTTACAGTTAACTTCAGTTTGAGTGTGTACATATATACATACATATGTTTGTATCTTGAAGGTAATTTCTCTCTCAGGTTATATTTTTTAAAATATGTGCATCAGCAAACAACAGGTTTGCTGTCCATCAGGAAAAATACCAATATCATTGTCTTCAGAAAGTATTTGCATCTGGTCAGTAAATTGTGGTGCAGAAGGGGTGAATATTACCTGCTTAGGGTATAAAGTAGCAAATTTAACCAAAACAAAACAAAAATCAGTAAACTAGTATCTTTGTCCTTGACAAAAGGAGGTTGGAAATTAAAACAGACCTTCTTAGCAGACCTAGGGCCCCCTCTTCTGCAGGTAAAACACCGGTTTTGTTCTGCCAGCTGTGATTTATCAAAGTTTTACCCAAGTACGTTTTCAGGATACTTCAAGTAGGTATTGTTAGATATCTGTAGACTACTAAAGGCCTTTCTCTGAGCCCCTGTGAGAATGCTAATTTTATAGGTTTTGAAGTCCCACTAGCTTCAAAGCACTTCCAATGAAGTCGATGTTTTTAAGCCTTCAAGAAGAGCAGCTGACTCTTCTGTACAAAGCAAGTAAAAGCCTCTGGTGAGTTTACAAAAGTAATAATTTATCCCCCATTAAAGACACATTGTCCAGTAAGTGTTTTTTATGCCCGAGTTCTCTATTTTTTCCTAGAGTACTGGTAGCAGTAAAAGGGCGTTCATCCAGTGGAAGAAAAAATAGGGCAATTTAACTGGTTAAGAAAACATATAAAAAAAACTCTGAGTGCAATATATATAACTCCACACAGCTCCAGTGAAGAATCTCATAGTTTCCATAATATCACTACGAGTATGACAGTGCAAAAAATAGTCCTGACTTGGGCTGTACCTTGGTGTCATTAGCTAAATAGCCCTGGGTCCCTGCAGCGCAGATTGCCAGTGGCTTGCTCTGGTGAAGTGATCACAGAACAAAACAAAGCTGATCTGTTGTTTCCTAAACTAACTTAGCTTTTGTCTTCAACTGTTCCCCCCCCAAGAAAAAAATTTATTTATTTCCTCTGGCAGCGAGTTCCTCATTGAACCAGAACAGCTTGAGTCGAAATCATGACAGCATTTGATCAGTGTACCAATTTTGTAGCCTTAAAAAGGGGAGTAGGAAAGGGAAATAGAGGAAAATGCTAAATAAGCTAATTTCCTTTTTGCAACACTGCCTGTTTTAAATAACAAATCGAGTTTAATTATCACAACAAAATGAGAAGATGACAGCTTAAGACAGGGTGTTAAGTTCATGTGGATTTCTAGCTGGTGAAGCAACTTGTCGGGCTGTTTTCAAGGAACTGCTCATGGGTTTTGACAGCTTCATTCAAACCGAAGGGGAGTCTGTTGCCTTCCTTCCTCTGCCTCCCTTGGAAAAATCCCAGTCTTTGCTGTATAGCTTCTGGTGGTGCCATGGTTAAAATCCATCCCGGCTTGCTTTGATAAATTTCCCTTTTCTTCCACGTTCATTAGCATTCCCTGAATATATAACGTGTGGATCTCTTGCATAAGATTCCTGTTTGTCCTTTCACGTTGTCTTCAGGGTGTATCTGCAGCTTGCCCTTCATCTCCAACACAAGCCTGTTAAAACCAAAAAGCTTGCAGCACCTTCTGCAAGTGAGCAGTCTTAAAGGTGTCTGCAGGTGGGCTTTGCTTGCCCAGCCGTGGCCTTGCCCAGCAGCAGGTCGAAGGAAAATAGCTCACCATTTGCAGTAGCTCTGGTAGCTCGGCAGCAGCTGTTCCTCCTCGGTAGCCTTGCCAGCGCCACGCTGGCATCCTGAGCGGGGAGGCTTGGCAAAATAAGCAAGTGCGGTGCGGCTAACCAACCGTGCTAGAGCTTGGCAGGGACCAAGGCGGCTGCCATTGAGTAGCCGGATGCGGCTATGTTTCCAGTGGCCCATGTAGATCACCATCTGCTTTGGGCTTCATTGAACGTCCCACTTAGGTGTGATTTGGATGCCCAAGCTTAGGTTTTACCCTTGCCAAATAGCTGATGGGGAGAGGCGGATGCATGCACAGCAAAGATTCGGCATCTGAGTCGAGTACCTAAGTAGTGTGAATACCCCTGTGTGTGTCTTCTTTTAGGACCTAGGGCTAGTGGGCTGAGGAGGGGGAATCTCGCCCCTGGTGAAGCCGGCAGTGACTTGGGCAGGACAAAGATTTGCAGCACCCTTTGTGGGAAGAGCAAGGAAAGCACCAGAGGCAATGTCCTGGGGTGAAGTGCTCCTGTTGGGTTTAAGCCAAGCCCCGTGTCTTGTCCTCCTGTGCAGGTGACTGCATCCCAACACAGACCCCTTGAGGTGAGGTGGGAGTGCTCAGAACAAATCCCTGTTTTCCCAGTTCTTCAGGTGCTGGTGCAAATGGTCCCTGTGTACTTTTTGGCACATGAGCAATGGGGCATCTCTTTTCAGCCTAGAGAGTAGTAGAGAGCAGGACAACTGATAATACTGTTTTTACCATGTGTTTTTCTCACTTTACAAACCAGGACCCCCCTCTGCTCCTCGGAGTGCCATCTCAAATGTTAACGAGACTAGTGTCTTTCTGGAATGGATTCCCCCTGCTGATACTGGTGGAAGGAAAGATGTGTCTTATTATATTGCATGCAAGAAGTGCAACTCACACTCAGGTCTGTGTGAGGCGTGTGGCGGTCATGTCAGGTACCTCCCCCAGCAAACCGGCCTGAAAAACACCTCTGTCATGATGGTGGATCTGCTTGCTCATACAAACTATACCTTTGAAATTGAGGCAGTGAATGGAGTGTCCGACCAGAACCCCGGAGCCCGGCAGTTTGTGTCTGTAAATGTAACCACAAACCAGGCAGGTAAGTGGATCTTCAACCTCTGGAAATGTCTGGGGTGGGAGTCCAAGCCAGTCAGACCTGGTGCAGACCTCCCCTTGAAATGGGTGGAAGTCCCCAGCATGGAGGGCTGACTTCAGCCTCTTCAAATACATGGGCGGGGGTGGTTGTTTCTCATAGGTTATAATTACTGCAGTCTTCAACATGTTTCCTTCCAGCAGGACACACTTTTAGGATTTGTGGCTTTTTCCTTTTACACTAAGCTACTTGGGGATCCCTCCACTTCTTTGCACCCACTAAAACAGAAAGAAAACAGTTGCCTCTGCTGTTGGGAAAGGGAAATTTCTAAAAGTTCATTTCGATTCCAAATGCCAGTGGTTAAAACGTCCTAACTTTGCAAACAGTTACCCTAAGAAAATTGTTTTGAGTTATTTTATGAAATTTAATCCCTCTTATGCACTATGATGCTAAAGTGACTGGACTCAAGCTGGTGAGATACGGTACGTTGTCACTGCTTCTCCAACGAGGTAGGGCTGAGATGTCATGGCATACTGTGTCCTTCTTGGTTTTACACTGTACAGACAGAGATCATGTAGACTTGTTTGTTCCTTTGTCCGGGGCACAGATCTGTCTGCACTTCCTTTGCCCAGCGATTGAAAAGAGCTGTCACCATTGTCCCCCGTCATTTGGAGGTGTGATAGGAGGCAAAAGCATGATTACATCTCCTTCCATGCACATCAACACACCAGGCACATCACACAGCTTCTGTAAGCCCTGGAGACCTTTCTATCCTTCTGTTGACCCTCATGCTCTGTTTTAGGGTCTTTCCCTTTGCATACCTGGCTCGCTTCCTGCCATTTAACTCAGGGCTTCCCAGTGGCACTTGTCTGCTGCGGAGCCCTTCCAGGGATGTGAACCAGTGGCATTTGAGACCATGAGGACTGCCGCCAGATCACCGGAGCCACCCCTTGTCTTCTTCTTATGGACAAGGCTTAGCCAGGAAACCCGGCACAGTATGCAGCGTAACAGCCAGATGGGGATTGACTGGTCCTCACTGCGGAGCAGAAAAATGCTAGCTGGAGCAGGGCTGCATTTCAGTCCTGCTACCCAGGTGTACCTGCGTGGGCTTGGCAGCCAGCAGCAAGAGAGTGCGACTGCATCGCACTTTATCAGATACCTGTCCTGGTAATTAGACTGGATTGTCAAAGTGCTGGACAAATCATTTAGATATATCTCAAGGATAGGAAATAAAAGCATGCCGGGATTGCTACTGATGGATGTGGCAGGAAATCTTCTGGAGGAACATCGGTGGATGGCAGTATGACACCTGTTGAAGGCACCAGTTTAATGCAGATCAGTGGGTGTCACGGTCCTAATGCTGTTTACTGTTTTCGCATTGTGAAGGCTGCTGCCAATAACTCTGTTTTTGGAAAAAGTGTATTTTCCTGTTGGTGGGTTTGCATTAGTATTTAATTGCTGGCGTTGGATTTTCCATGATGTGCGGAGTTAAATCCACATAAACCTCAGTAAATGTAGCTGCACGAGAGGAGATGATACATTGCTGATCATTGCAGACTGTGAGGAAATGGGTCTGGTTTGTGAGTTATGTCCCAAACTCCCTTTAGTTGCAGCAGGATTTGTCCACGTAGCTGCCTTCCTGTGCATCAGGCCAAGAATAACCCCCTTGCACAGTTATCACCTCCAGCCTTGTATTGAAAGGTCCATTATAGGAAATGGTAGACCTGGGACGAATGTAGCTCATGCTAAGGACAAGTGGGTAAGTGTAGCTGCTGGCTCTGTCTCACTGTTTACCCTCGTAGAGCTGCAATCAAGGGAGATACTAATGGATCAAGCCGTGAATGTTTAATTCACTGTGTGGTGTTGAAATTGCCTCTGTATGCTTTTGTGTTTGATTCAACAGGAGGTTGAATCAAACCTCAGTCCAAAGCAAGGAGTGGTGACTGTATTTTGTTGTCTTGCTGGCTGGTCTCACCACTTATTGAGGAGGAGGAGAACCAGGTCTGTTTGCTGGAGCTGTAGCATCAAATGTGCTTCCCAGTAACGTGCTCTTTTGGCACTCCCAGGGGGTGATCATCGGTTTGTCCATGCCAGAAATAAAGCAGCCGTAGAGCGGGACTTTGCAAATCAGACTAGCTGCCAAGCATGGAAAGTGGATATCTGTTTTCTTAAGGTGCCTCTGAAAAATGTCCTTTGAGGCAAGTAATGGACGTGTGCAGGTGGAGTGGAGTGGTCCATGCCTGGCCATGCTCAAAGATGCTTCAGCTGTCCACTCTCAAATAAGAGCAGGCAGGGCACATGGGGCTTTAGGGACTGTCAGCCCACTCGTCTTCCCCCTGAAATTGCCACCAAGAGATGCAGCTCTGGGGCCTCATCCTTTCCTTCTCACAGGTTTTCTGATGGTATGATTATGTTTTCATGAAGGCTGGTGTAATGAAGTTGAGTCACTAAAGGCAGTGACACAAAGCCAACTGCAGCAGTAGGAGAAATCCTGCTACAAGAACTGCTGGCTGCGGAAAATGAAAAAATTGCACGCTGTGGGATAGGTCTGGCTGCTGGAGTCCTGCTGGCAGGTATTCACTAACCCAGTACTGCAAAGAAATGCCAAGGTCTGTTTTGTTGGTTTGGCTTTTGTCCGTCCTGAAACGACCATGCTAATTTCAGGACTGCAGAGAATGCGCAGGCAGCAGGGTGCTGGGCGCACCACCTCTTCTGTGCATGGGAGCTTTTGGCAGGAGAAACTACCTCTGGTTTGGGCTCTCGAAGGGATTGCTTCCTGAAAAAAATGTGTTCTCCATTTCTCATTTTTCAAAATAATTTGTCCCTCTTCCTCTCTCCCCAATTTAAAATAATGAGAAAAGAATTGGCACCGGCAATCAGTCTGGCATTTTCAGACTGATGTAATTTTCCTCTGAACTTTTGAAATCAGATTTGGAAATACAGCAAGGAAACGGTAATGTTTTGTGCACAAGAGGACGCAGATCAGCTAATCTCAGCTGGTGACCCCAGCATGCTTCTGCTCCCCCAGTCCCAGGGGACCTGATGGTACTTGGGATGGGACCAGCCCACTCAGAATGCAGTTGCCCTAGGCTCCAGATACAGGACTAGTTGCCCTGTCACCCTCTTGTAATCCCCAAACCTGTGTTGTTTCTGGGGGATTTTGCAGATGTTTTCTGCTGGAAAACATGTATCTCGAAAGGATGAGCAATGCCATAAGCCGGGGAGGTGGAAAGTGCGCTGGCCTCCATCATGACTACCATAGAGCTGCTGCAGGCAAACAGAGGACCTTACTCCCTTAGTAGGTGTATGGGTTGGCCAAAGCATGGTTCTCCCCTGTGGGATTGCTGCAAAATACATGCCCAAGGGACTTCCCAGCACAGATGGCAGGGAGCCATCTGTAATGCACTCTCACAAAGCATTAAAAAGTGTGCCTCATGCATGTGGGCTTTAGCCCAGTGAATAATTCATAAGTGACAATGGTAGGATTGAGTTAGCCATCCTTTTCTTGTTCATGGTTTTGCTCAAGTTTACATAGCTGCCACCTATTTAGACAGTTTCCAGAGAGCAACCTGCGTGTGCTGCTAATATTGAAGTTTGCTTTTCAAGTGACAACCATGTGACGTTTTTTTTTTTTCTCAGTGATTTCACCAAGCTGGATGATTAAGTAATGCTGTCACTCCAGACAGAGATGTGCATCTCCCTTGAGGTCTTTCGTCTTATCTACCCTGTATACAGAAAGCACCTACCATGACGTCTTGGTCAGAGACGTGTGTCTCGTAATGGGTTGTGATTCATGGTTGCCTGCCTGCCCGTCGTATCATCGTAGCAGCGCACCGGGAAGATGCAACGTTTAAAACCATTCTAGGTTTAAAACCTGCCAGGAGTATTCACTTTAAGCCAGTCTTTTTAAAGCGCTGAGCAATTTTCTTTGCTTTTTGTTTCCAGCATCTCCCATGCTGGGCATGGCTTCAGGCAACAGCCACAGAGCTGGCCTGGAGGTGGGGGGCGTGAGAGTGCTGCGGTTCTCCTGCTGGCATCCCAAGTGCCACAGACTCCTTTACACTTAAAAACCTTCTTTGTGTGTGTTTTCAGATAAGCCCCCTGCCTGTTTTCTGTTTGAAAAGTCAGAAGCCAGCGTTCAATCCCCTGTATGATATTTTCAAACCTCTTTTGGGGAGGAGGGGAAGAAAGATCCGGATGCGCTTGCTAACAGAGGTGGAGTTAATGTGTCTAATGCCTCAAGGAGTTTGCGTGCCCAAGGCCAAACCAGAGATAGAAGTTGCACCCTGAGGTGCACAGGTGTTGGAGGACAGGACCTAGCAACCCGTACTGCTGCCTGGGAGGTATGACTAGGTTCTTACTTGACCAAAAAAAACACTAGGTACTTGGAGCAGCTGGAAAGCTCTTGGTGCAGGGAGGTGTGCTGAAAGCTGTGATCCTCACTCTGATTGTGCAGTGTCGGGGAGCAAAGGAGAAGGTGTTTTCCTTAGCACTCAGGATATACCAGTCTTTGAAAAGCAGCCAAGGGTGATTCAGAAAGGGAAAGTTGCTGCAATCGTGTGTCAGCAACTGTGTGCTCTTGAAACCGATAGACTGCAGCCCTGCACAGTCTGGGAAGAAAACATCAGAAAATGAGGTGAGGAGATGGCTGTGCTGGGCAGCCTGTTTTCAGAGATTGCCTTTGGGAATGGACAGGTTCAAGTCCTGTAAGGTTCAGGGTCTGATTCTTGCAACTTCCAAGTCTCACAGGCTTGTTTGGTTTGGCTTGGTTTTGCAGAGGAAGGCAGCTTGCTTATTTTCTTTAGGAATAGCAAAAAACGTCCAAGAGGATGCTCCAGTAGATGTAGCTCTACTTTTCAACCAGAACTGCTGACCTAGGGCCTGCTAAAGCTTAAGCAGATCTTTACTTTTGGAAAACTCCCTTTCCACACCTAGGGTGGTGAGCCAGGGCTTGCCTGTAAACGTCCATTGTAACAGTACTTGATCCCCTGAGCTGCGTCATCTTC